AATAAAATCTTAAAAAAAAATTTTTTATGGACATTCTAAAGAGTAGGAATGAGGGTTAATTATCTGTCATAGTTCTAATTTAAGTGCTCAGAATCTGGATTACGTTATTACACTTAAAAAAAAATTTAGGTATCACATAAATTTTTAAATGTAGGCTTTTTTTCCCCCTCTTTTAACATAATACAGTTTCAACAGTCTTTCCTACTGGAAAAAGACAGCAGTGTTTCCTCTTGTATGTGCCTTGATTTCTGTTAGAGTTATTTAACTTTTCCTACTCAGAAAAAAACACTCAATTTAGACTACTTTAACTACAGGAACTCATCATGTCTGAAAATGGAAGTCAGAAATCTTTTCTTCATTTCAGTCATTTCTGGCAAATGAGAAATAAAGCCAGCTAAATGTTTAGCTCCTACTAGTCCTCCTCTGCCATCACATGCCGTGAAGGGAAGCTCTTGCAGTGAGTAATCATTCCAACCAAACCCCAAAGTCAGAAAATCAGATCCTTTGTTCCATTTAAATAGGTCCATCATCATGTGGTTTATCTTTTCAAATTAAAATGATGATACTCCAAGGTCAACCAATATCACTAGATATAAAATCTAAATTAAGTGAGCTTTACATCATTAGGAGTCAGAAATATAAATGCATTTTAAGTGACAACACTACTAGCAAATTAAGTTGTGTGAATTTAAGTATTTACTATTAGGTTTTCCTCACTATGATTTCCATAATATAATGTGTACAAATGTAAACATATAATGCTTTGGATAAAAGTTACTCTGCTCAACAGTAAAGAAAACTATTTTAAAAATCATTTCTATAATTTCAGAACTAATAGTGCAACTACAGTATAACTGCCTTTATATTCCAAATAAGAAATGCTTTTTCAGAAATTTCTCTGAAGAATGGAAAAAATTATAAAGCAAAGGACAGCAATGACTTTTCAGAGGAATTCCATTTTGCAGCTTTAAATCATCAACCTGAATAAACAATATAAGGGATGCAAATCCCTCCTCTAACACTGTTTTAAAAAAATCATTGAATACCCCTGAAACAAATAATACATTATATGTTAATAGAAAAAAAATCATTGCATAATAATCTGACGAAGAATTAAGTCTTTATCAAGTAGTTCCTTTCTGTAGGATACCAATAATCAAATAATAAATTTAATAAATACGTACAGTTCCAGAGAGGACATCATGGGGGCAACAGTTGAGAAGGTGACTCTTGCATACTCTGTCATCACTGAATTTGATTCGTTGACGAGTAGTATCTCCTGCAATATAGAAAAGTTAATAACATTCAAGGTTAGACAACTGGAAAATACTTATTTTCTGAGAGCCCTATCATCTCTAGCTTTTCCTGTGTGGCTACACACACACACACATTTATTTATAAATCAGCTCAAGAGGGATTAGTTTTTTATATAACATCCTATAGAAAAACTATTTTAGACATGCAGTTGCAGTATGTGTACTGCAAATGTAATTCAAATAGTCAAAGTGGGAAAGCAATGCATTCCGTTAAACAGAGTACTTCAGAAAAGCATAGGATATAGGGCAGGAATGGACTTTAAAGATTATCGAGTCCAACTCCTTCGCACTGCAGATGATGAAACTGAGGCCCCAAGAGGTTAAGTGACTTGCAGCAGACCCACTAGGAGAGTTTCTACTGGTATACAATGTTCCCTACTTGATGCTAAGCATAGATTTATTTTGTAATTATTTACATTAATTGAAAAACATAAAAAGTAATCTTGCAAACATTGCATACACACTGCGAATCCCCACTGAACCCCAGACGCCATTTCTTCCACTATTTTGTTCCAGCTGAAGTGTCTCCCTTTTGCTGCTGGGATGAGTTAGAGAGGGTAGAATAGCGTGTTTAAGAGTGTACAAACCTGGAAGAAGGACTTACACACCAGTCAGACAAAGGCACATTGCCTAAATGAAACGTTAACTTTAATGCCTCCAAAGGTACCATACCTTCAAATTTTAGGTGATCTGTGCTACATATGGCCAAACCGGGTATATTTAAATTTATTCTGTCTTCATATAACACAGTACACCTCCTAAGCAACAGAAGCATCCAACCTCCTAATCAAATATGCCTATCCAACTCAAACTTTAAAGAGTCTAAGAAAAAGAAAGGTAACTAACTCTAGTAACAAAATACAGATGTTAGTTACAATTTTTTTTGCTTAGAATCTCTTTGGGGAAAAAAAAGAAAAAAAAAACTCTTAAGGACATTTTTTCTACGTAGAATGATAAGCCCTAAGAAATGTAGGTGTTTTATTCTAGCCTTAAATTGATATCATCATTGATGAATGAAAACCTACTGATGAATTACTGAAGCGAGAACTGTTGGTACCAAAAGAGATTGTAAATACCTCTGTACTTCACATGATGTCTGGGGCACTCCAAAAACTCATCTAGGAAGTGATTCAATTATTTAAATTAATTTCTATTATTCTCATGTGAATAACAAAAAGGTTAAGCCTTTACCCCTTTCACATGGTCTTATTTTGAAGAGCTTAATGCAAAGTCAACTAAATATGTCATTTTTAGGTGGGGTAAGATTTTGTTCAAATTGTTTTAACTCCATTAAAAAGACTTAAAGAACATTCTCATTTGCAATCAGGGTATATAAAATTTAAGAAAAGTAATTTATAGCTAAAATGATAGCTTCAGAGCAGTTCAACAATAGGTTTTCTAGAGGCTAGTCTCTAGTTCAAGTAGGTTACTTTGACACCACAATTTGGAATAAATCATTTAGTGTTCACGCCTGCTACTATAATAAAGGTTATTTTGATGGTCCTTTTTTCCTTTTAAACACAACTGCTTTTGTTCCACATTCATTAACACATCTGAAAAGTTAGTGATAACTCACGGCTCGGCGAATGCGGGGCCTTTCTGACACTCCCTTGCAGATTGAAGTAGGCAGGCATAGATACATTGAACCTTTACAAATAAAACAAGGGGCCAGATTGTTCAGTTTGTATAGAATAGACTCTGCCAGCAATTTCAATACAGCATCTAGAAGTACATGTTGACTGTAAAGATTCTTGTATATGAAAACAAAAGTGAACAAAATCAGGGTGTTTTATTTTGCAAAATATTGACTTAACAAGTGTAACCCTAAGAAGAATAAGACTGACCATAGATAGGAAAAAGTCCAACGCTAGAACTCTGGGAAATGGTCTCTGGGCCAACTGGGGTTTTAAAAAAAATGCTTTTTTAAAGACTTTATCTCATTAAGACTTTGGTGAGGGCCTAAGTTCACATTAGAATGGTACTATGATAAGCTAGCACCAGAAGGGCAATGCTATATATTCAAGCTTTTGCTTACTGGCATGTAAGAAAAAATGTCTTATTTTCAATCTGTACCCAAATTATGCTAAGAAATTTAAAGATGATGTAGTTTTAAATACAAAAAAAAAAACACAAAAACCCTTACATATCTAGGACTCTCCCTACTGACAGTATCTAAGCTTTTTAGCATGCAACAACAGTATTGTTTCAATGCTATGTCAAACTAATGGCTCAATAATATTATAAACCAGGCCTTAAAATAAAATCAAGATTCTTAGAAATTTTACTAATCAAACATTTTGTAAAGTAGGGCGACTGTTTTTGCTTCAGAAATCACAACATTAAGTCTAATATTAAGATACATGTGCCCTGAAGACACAGCTGTCAGGCAAAATATAAGAATGCCAAATACGAATTTAGCAAACATTATCCCCAATGAACTCTTACAAAAAGCATATTTCTATAAATGCAAAAAAGCATTTTAAAGTAACTTCTCACTGCATAAGAATGGTTGCTCTATAGACATTTGATAACTGCAAACACAATAAATACAGCTATCAAATATCAGCTTACACATTAGAAAAACCTTTAAGACCATGAAATAATAAAACCCCTAATAATTTCAGATACAGAAATATCCCGAGATGGACTAGCAACTAAGTATCTGTTCATTGGTATTTTTAAAGTTTTACTTAAGAGACTTTAAGGTTAATATCTTAAAATAATTTGGCTACATTACCATGCAGTGTTTAATAAATTTATTTGGGCTTATGCCATAAAACGTATAATTTAGCTAAACCAACAAAGAATTTTAAAATAAAAATACTGGTAATTTTGGTTTCTATCAAGGTATCTGGCCCAAACCATGTTTTTCAAAAGAAACAAGGTAAAACAGCGCCCATTTGAAAGAAAAGGGGGGGGGGCAGACTACAATTAATAGAAAACAATTATGAACCAGATCTTTTAATAAAAAGAATTACTTCATGAATTCAAATACTGTATCTTTGGGTTTTCTGGGCATACAGTCATATAAAAATAACCTGAGTTAAAAAAAAAACAATTACCCTCTTACACTAACATTGGATCCAAATCATAGAATCAAACCTATTAGTGCACATATCCTTTGTGCTAGTCAATGGGGTTACAAATAGGCATATAATTACAAGCTCTCTACCTTCAAGGAGTCCATGATAGTGACAGAGAAATAGGACACCTAATTGAAATAACAAGTAATAAAGTAGCATGACCCAAATGCCAAATGGATGTCTCTAGCAGTAGTACTTCGGGAATTCTAAGACTAGAATGGCCACCAAGGATGGAGAGGTTAGAAAAGGCTTCATACAAAAAGTAGAAGCCAAAATTTAAAGAAAAGATAGGACTCAGACCACAGGAAAGAAGAACATTTCAAACTGGAGTATTATCTTTGACAAAGCTTATAAAGGCAGAAAGGTTTAGGGAATTGTAAATACTCCAAGTCAAATTCGGCTTTGGAAAATGGCTACATGTAGGGGAATAGCAAAGCTGAGGCCAGAACAGTATTTCTTGGGTAAAATTTGATTTCTTAATTTTTTCATTTTTTTCTTCAATCCAGATTTTTAGTGTAAACAAAGTTTAAAAAGTTTAAAAATAATGAACAGAGATTAAACCAAGTTATCTGAATTAACAGCAATACAGTGTCCTACCCATAAAAACATGGAGGTTTCTCTGCCCTGTAACCTCTACAATAATTAATTAGGCTTTGTACATAACTACAATCTAAGTTTTTAGCATTAGCAACTTGATTTATAACTTTGGTAGGCAAAGTGTTCTTCATTTGAATGGAAGCATCAAAATTTCTGTTAATATTTATTACCAAGCAACTAACTTCAGAGTAAAAGCTTTAATTCTCTCTTTGGTTCAACCCCTCCATGAGTTTCATGAATTGTAATTTGTACTTGGGAACACCTGAGTTGCAAGTGTACAATAAAAACTGGAATGCCTATTATTCCTCTTAAGGCTTCTGAGGAAGTTAACAGGGCCTAATGTGGTACTGAGGCAGTTTCCCTTGGGGAACACAGATAGGCCACTCTAAAAAGGCAGCTCCTGCCCAGACTGTACTCAAATACTGCTATGCTCAAAATCCCCTTCAATCTGTTGGGAGGGAAAAATAAGCCCACTGTAAATCCCAACACCGCTATTTTATGGTCCTGCCTCTTCTGAAACTAACTTAGACTTAAACTGTAGTAGTAACACTTAAAACTTCAGCCTAGATGGTATCTGACAATTTACATGGTGCATGCTATTTTCCCAATGCCCACCCCCTCCCCCCTCCAGTGCCACCCACCCTCTCCCTCCCATACAAACAATAAATCAAATAAATTTTCACAGATTTAGGTGCTATTTTAAAAACATCAAAATTTTACTTTACCCATTCTCTCCGATGCTCCCTGTATTTTTTTAAGCTGTGAGTGGATGACCATGCTATGTGATCAACAACTGTGAAGGCTAAGCAAAAGTGAACTGAGTTTAGTATTGTAATTAAAAGAACCTTAAAGTTTGTAATATTTGACATATATAATGGTATGCAGAATCCTTATTTTACTGCATATTATCAGGCATTAATGGCAAACAATTTATAAAAACAACTAATTAGTATTTCTTTTGTATAGAATTAGTTTAGAGCTTAGCTTAGGGAAAACAGAGAAGAAAACTCAACAGCACACAAAACAAATGGAAGCAACCCCTAGCTTATAAATGGGGCCAGAAGAGGGAAAGCCCGCCCATATTCTCCAATGTGACAACCAAAGCCCTCCCCACAGGTACACTTGTTAGGGAACAAGTGTCACCACTGGCTTAGGACAGGATAGGCACATTCCCTCTGAAATAAAATCCATATCCCTTCAGTGAAAGGAAAGCAGAGCAAGAAAAAGAGGTGTATAACTGATAGCTTAAAGTTTCTCATTTCCCTGTGCCTCGGAATCATCAA